AATAATAACAACAACAATAATTATATTGTATAGTAATAGAAACAAATAATAATCATTACCATAACCATAATAGCATTGTTATTATTACTGCTATTATTGTTTATGGCTGCAGGTAAAAAAAAATATATATTTTTATGACAAATTAATCTCTTGATTGTTTTTTCAATTTGACTGCAGACTTTGAATTGAATAATGCCCACACTATTGAGTTCAAAATGACATCTTAAAATCGTTTTTTTTTTTTTTTTGTCCAACAGTAAAATATTCAATGTATAATATTAAGAAACTGAGAAAAGACAGAAAATATTTGGCATTTTTGCTACTAATAGATTCCTGCAGCTCTATTATTTATTTATTTATTTATTCACTTCAATTTGAGCCCTGGTGTGTTTATAGCTGGTCAGGATCAATCAGACTCAACTTGGTATTTGAGGTTGACTGCCTAGTTTGCCATAATTATGTTGCCATAATACTTGGAAAATAATAAATCATAGACAATGAATGCTTTATTCAACATTATTTCCATGTGCCCTGAATGCAGCATTGCCCCCATTTTACCTTTATGGGCAACAGGCCACAGTGAATGCACCCAACGTCAGATTTCGTCTCCGGAACACGTTATCAGTCACAACAAAACTATAGCAAGATTTTGGTTCAGCCGCTATCTACATCCACACAAGTCTGTGTTCACTTCAAATTCTTGCAATAATTTCCAAATCCCCTGTGGTGGTTTTGCTTTGCACTGTCAGGCAGAGAGATGCAAGATGGAATGAGTGCACGAGTGTTTGCCAACACTCACTAGTCAGCAAAGCTGCCTTCTGTTTGGATAAACACATTTATTCATCAGAGAAAGCATAATATTTATCATTTGGTGCCATTGGTTCATTGAGAATACATTCTTCTTAGTTTAAAATAACCTTTAACCTACAGCGCCTATTGCTTTGAAGAAGAAAGATGTTCAGACACGACAACAAAAGTTACTTCAAGAAATGTATGTGGAATATTAAATAATATAAAGGTGATTTAAACAGCAGTTTAAAGGGGCACTCCACCACATTTGAAAATGCAGCAAGCTATTTTGATTGTTACAAGTCTCGTGTTGTCCCTGGTGTCTTGTCTGCAGGGAGGTGTGACGCTGTGCTGAGTCCCCTCACTGTGTGCAGCAGCACCATGGCAGCTATGGGACCAGAGGACAGACCTGGATCAGGGCCAGGCGGGACGGCTGTCTGCCCGTCAGGACTACAGGCCCATGTCTCTACAACGACACACAACAGCAATGGGCCAGACAGACAGCAGACTCTGGTGAGTAGACGGAGAGGGACGAGACTCCCATTCAGGGTAACTGAGATGATAAAAGTTTAATTTTATTGTAGTATCAAAAGCCATAACACTATCCTCTATATAACCTCTATCTCTACTATCATCATCTATGCATCCATTCCTCCATCCAGAGCTTCCACAAATGGGTGATTATTCCCCCCCCCTCCCCCGTCTTAAACATATTGAACTACCTGGTCAGAGGCTGGCATCCACATCCTTTTCACATAGCCATACTGGCAGCTTGTGCTGTCTGCAGCCAGGACGCCACAGATGGACAGGAAATATTCTCTTAACTGCTTTATTCATGCAACAGTGAAACACAGTTTCAGGGCATCATGTAAACAGCTTAACCCAAATAAGGCCTGAACAGAGTATTAATTACTCTGTCAATTTCCATTAATTTACTGACCGGAAGTGTAGTCTTTGAAGACTGTTGCAGTTTTTAACTCGCAGCTCATTATTTCATTGCTTCTGTCTAAAGGTCTATACGCAGAGCTGTGTCCAGGCTGAGAAAGCTTTCGTGGAAAACAAGACATCAGTTCACCTGCCGCAGAAGAAGGCTGAGAGAGGCTGGAGCAACCTGGGTGTCTTGCGAACTATGGGACCCACCATGCACCCCAGCAACTTGTCAGCTACTGGAGAGGCACCACCATACAGGTGAGGGAGAGGTCACAGTATATGAGTGTGTGAGGGTGGACTTCATCACACTAGAGTCTAATGATATTCCCTTATGTTGTCTCCAGTTTCCGCAGTCCAGAGTCAGTGGAGATGGATGAGATCATGGCAGCCATGGTTCTGACCAGTCTGTCTTGCAGCCCCGTTGTCCAGAGTCCTCCACAAACAGATCCTGGACCAGGTCTGTCTCACCTCACCAACACACACATTCACCAGTGTCCCTGCTGTTTTCAATACCACTTTCTAACAAAGGATCCTTTATACAGGAAAGGGTTATAAGTTATAGGTTATAAGTTGTAACTGATGGCTTAATTGGTGAATTATCTGCAGAGGTCTCCTCTCCAAACTAAACAGACCCAGTGATTAAAACCAGTAAAAACACTGAATGAAGTAGTTTCACCTTGAAAATCAGTGTTTCACCAACGCTGTTCAGCAGACAAAGGACATTGCGGTGGGGCTGCCAGCCGAGCTGCCACTAACGTTGGCTCTTGTGGTTGTTTCTCTGATAACTTAAGATCCAGACGACGAGCAGCCAAGCGCGTCACTAAAGTGAGCTAACACGTCTCATAAACGCTACTGATTTTAAATGATCAATGGATTTTAAATGTACTGGGTCTTTTGCAGTTTCACTGGGTGTTCCTTTTAAATGGTTCAGCCTGGAGATTCTGCTAGCTTGGTAGAATAGCTTTTTTTGCTATTCTATTTGAATGTTTGCTGTGACAATAGAAAATGTCAGATTATTGATTTCTAATTATAGAAGTGAATGAGGCAGGGCAGAATGTCAAGTTTAAGGAGGAATGGAAGGCCAATCCTGAGTTCAGGGACTGCATAGGACATGTGGCAGGTGATGTACACCCCAAGCTACTGCAAGACATGCAAGAAAACATTTGATGTGGGCATCATGGGCATGGCTGCTGTTAAAAGCCATGCTAAAGGAAAGGGACACAAGAAAGTCACGTCAACTCAAGTCAGTGGGCCACAAATGACAACAGCCTCCCACCCAAATTCTGAAGCTGGCAGGCAGACAACAGTGGCAGAGAGTCAAGGGAACAGAGAGGTCCAAACATCCACTTTTAAGACTGCGACTTCACCCCAAGTTGAACCTAAAGTTGAAACTATCTTAGAAGCAGAGATCCACTGGGAGCTAAACATGTCTCTTCCCCATTTCTCTTTATGTTCAGATTTGCCTACACTGTTTCCTCACGTTTCCTTACAGTGAGGTTGCCAAGAAATTCTAGTGTGGTGCAAGCAAAGCAGCGTATCTGATCTGTCTTGGTCAGGCACAATATTTTTGAGAGAAGCTATTGAAATACATCAGACAAACAGTCTGCCACACATCTCATTTCATGAGTGTCTCAATAAAGTTACACAGACCAAGAAGATGGATGTAGTTGTTCATTACTGGAGTCAGAGCGAAGAGAAGTTGGTCCTGCATTGCCTGGTTTATTGGACACACCCAAACAGAGAATGTTGTTGAAAGAATTTCCACTTGATCCAAACAAGCTTTTACAGGTATTCATGTATGACCCAAGTGTATTGATTATTTGAGGAGTGCAGGAGCAATGATTACCCAAATGCTAGAAGGTTAGTGAACCTAGGAAACTGGTCTACATACTGTGCATGGGAGTTCTCAACATGGCGAGAAGGAAACTGGATGGAAGATAAGTGAAAGCCTAAGCACCCTTTGGCAGCCTTTTCATGCTACACCAACCAAATGGGATGACTTCATTGAAATCACAAAAACGTAAACATTCCCACACAAATTCTGTGCTCACAGGTGGGTGGAGGACTTGGCAGTGGCAGAGCAGGCCATGGAGGTATGGCCATCTGTTCAAAGATTTATTGACAGCCACAAGGAAGCGCAAGATGCCAACTTCAGCATTGTATATGATGGTCAGAGAGGCTGTTGGTGACCCCCTTTTTAACGCCAAGCTACAAGCTATGACCCCCTTTTTAAAGCCAAGCAACAAGCTTTTTCTTGAAGCTTTTCAAACCATTGCCTTTCTCGGCAAGAGCTTCAATCCATTCTGAGGAGCTTGCTTTCTTGCTTCATGATGAGGAAGGTTCTTGAGAACATCAAGACACCCCTCGGATTGCTCAAAATCGATGTACTTGACTAAGAACTGCATGTGCCACCAAACAAACTCTAGCCAAAGCCTCTGAGAAGCTCCATGAAAAGCTGCTGCTGGGCCAACAGTTCAGGAAAGAATGCACCACCCTTGTTTCTGCAACTGCTAAACAAATGTCCACTGAATTATGTTGCTATAAGACACGAGTGTTGATCCAGTGAGCATGATCAGTGAACAGAAGAGTGACATATACAAGTCTGAAAAGCTCCTACAGCTGCTTCTGAATGCCAAGTGGTATACTGAACAGCACTGTGACAGAATCCTCAGAGTACAACATTTTCCTCACTGAGATTGTTCAACAACCATAAAGCTGCTGCCACTCTCCTTGTCTTAAACTTGTCCATGTATGTACATGGAAGGGCAGGGAGGTGTGCTCTCCCCAGCAAACCAATTCAGTAATGACAATATCTGTCTAAAGTTTACTCAAATAGATTTGGCTAACATTAGCCACCAAGCTATTTGTCATTAGATTGAGGTGGACTATGATGAGTAGATAAGTCTCCGTTACTCCTGCTTATGTTAAATATGACCGTTAGCAACCACCTTTTTAAAGACATGTAAAGTACAAGAAAATTTGCCTGAGTAAAAAATAGATTACTTGCTATTAAATTTTTTTGGCAATGTTTAAAAGAATATTCAAATAAACAGGCAACAGAGCAAATATTTAGTAAAGACTGGCTGAAATGATGGTAAAACTGTCATAAATAGACACACATCACAACCTTGGCACCAGTGTGGGACACCTGCTGTTCTCTGTAGGTTGGGCAGAGACAGCAGTCCCAAATGCACAGTGTCTATTTTAACCACAAAGGAACAGAGCATATTTTACATCTAAACCATAAGGTACATTCCCACAGTGACTGCAAGGGGAAAATAACCATCATGGTATGTTTACACTTTACATCTTTGCAGTATTGCAAGTAAATAGGTCATTCTCATTCTCTAACTTTGAATCTTCCTGTTTTCCAGCTGGCTCATCATCACCAGCTGACATGGAGTGTGGCGGCGGCGAGCTCTCTGACAGCGGCAGCAGCGGCTACTGGAGCTGGGACCACGGCAATGTGAGCCCCGCCCCCTCGCCGTCAGTCACTGAAATGGACAGCAGCCCTGACGAAGGTTTACATATGGAACTGGAGCAGGGAGAGGAGCTTAATGCCAAAAAGCCAAAGGTACCTAGCTCTTTGTGTCAGCACCATATGGTGGTAACCTATAATGGGCAAAGGAAGTACGGTATGACGGACTGAGACTGTGTTCTCTGTCTCTCTCACTGTACTTTGTCTCTCCTTGTTTTCTGTCCCACCCTCTGTCCTGTACTTTATCTGTGCTGTGTTCTTTCTCTCACAGAGCTCTTTCAGAGGTGTGTATAAGTGTCTGTGGCCCAGTTGTGGCAAGGTGCTAACGTCTTCAGTCGGAATAAAAAGACATATCCGTGTGCTGCATCTGGGGTGAGTTGGAATACTTTAGATTTACACATACAGTCAGTTGCTTGTCTGTTACAGATGGATATTGTTTGAGATGTTTCAGTGGACCTTTTTCACAGCAGTCATTTTTACATAAAATAGTAGGGTAAACACAGGCGTTACCAATGATACCAATCAAAGTTTTGTTCTGTTTAGTGTAGCAGAGCCTTTCCAGTGAGCCAGCACAAACACCTGTGTTTACTCCTACTATTTTATGTAGAAATGGCTGCTGTGAAAAACGTCTATACTGGTGCTGATAAAAAAAAAGGTTTACAGATGCCAACATGATAACTCAGGGACTGTAGGAAAATGATTGGTAACCGTTTGGTTCACGTTTTTAGAAAGAAATGTCCTGCCCAGGGTAATTATAGTATTTTGACACCTCCTCTTCTTTAACAAAAAAATAAAACAGGGCCACGACCCCCCAATATCTTAAATAAGAAGCAGCAAACACAACAAAGCCTGTGTCCTGTTTATCCGAGAACTACTACAGTAACTACTTTTTGGCTACCCACACCTCACATTTTCTAAGCATTCAATCTTTTAAAGGATGGATGAAATGACATATATTTTATATCTGGGGTGAGGAACCTTAGACCATATCCTTGCCTCCTAAAAAATGTTGTACAGTCCCTTACTTTGAGAAATAAAAACGTTCTTAAATGCTCACCGTAAACGCAAGCAGTCATACAAGAACTTTCTTTTCTAAAAAAGCATAATTTAGATTATCTCAGGAATTGCCTGTTTAAATAATTTGTCAACAAGTTCAGGACGTTTGATGGCAACATGCTACAGATACATTTCAGTCTGTACCTACAAAGTCCTGAGGTTTGATATCTATCACTGCAGACTCCTGGTTGTTATGTAGTTTCTAGAATATGAAGGACTTATTGAGGTGTGTCTTTTATTACAGAGGTGAAAATATCAAGGAATTCTATCAGTTGGACATTCTGGGTTTTCAGCTTTGGAGCCTCCTCCGTTGTAGTCTGGGATGAGGTGAAAACCAGACAGTTTAGCCCTGTAGAAGATTTCTGAGCTGCAAAACAACATTAAAAAAACAAGAGGGAATAAAAATTTCAGCTTGTGGAAGAGCTCTGACTTAGTTATTGGACGTGATGAAACATTTTTGAGATTTTATATCTGGGCCAGAATGAGTGCTGCACTCACTAACGCTCCAAACAAACAACTCACTCTTTTTACTCTGGTCTGTCCCTCCATCTGCCGAACACACATACACACCCCTACCACACACACAGCAGTGGGTCAGATCAGTCACAGAGAGAAGAGGACTTCTACTACACCAAGATCTCCTGTGACACCGTGGACACCAGCTCCACTCCAGCTCCTTCCCAGCAGGCTCTGGGCCAGGCCCCGTCCTCTCATCTCAGCTGGGCCTCCTGCGGTTCTCCTCCAGCCTCAGGCCTCCAGATCCCACCAGCTCACAGGCCAAGGTCCAACTCCAGCTCCGGGCCTGGCCCGAGCAGGCCCAGTCCGCTCAGCCAGTCGGCCCCCAGCAGCTTCTGGCAGATCCACTCAGAGCATCTCTATCAGGTGGGTGCAGCAGTGCCGCTCTCAGACTGTGAGGAGTCTGGGGCTGTGATGGTACTGGCACACAGGTGTCTTTCACATATTCGCAAAATATTGTATTAAGTATTAGTAAAACATGTGTCAAACACAAAGTGTCACATCCAGTTGATAATATGGCACAGGTTCAATAGGTTTTTATTATCACTTTTATGCTTCATGTTACTGACCAGATGATTAACTGGTGCATTGTGGGTGGATAATGATGTGGTTAACCAGCCAGTGGTTTAGTTCCAATTTGAATTGAAACAGTTTTTTAATGATTTGTTATTGCCTAAATGCTGTCTGCAGGCTGAAATCTATTTTGAAAAGATGCCTTAATGTCAGAGATTTGTTGAAGTCACATTGAGTTTTGGCACAAAGTACCTGTTTACTTCCCAGCGTTTGAGTTTGTCTCTGAAAGCAGGCAGTGTTTTACAGGGCTGAAATTGTTTGAGAGCTATGAAATGAGACAGCACGGTCCTTGTTAGCGTGAATTATTAAATGTCTGGCGTAGATTTTCATGTGTGACTACAGAAATTTACCTTGCAAATGTCACAGTTTCCTGTTGGCTAAATTTAATAATCTTTCCCATGAAATCAGGCTTTAAATGGGTACAGAAAACGACTTTATCCACGTTCTTTTTCCTACTAAATATCTCAAAGGACATTATCTTGTTTAACTGGAGTTTCTATGCCGGGGTTTCACGTTACATGGTTGTTGGTGTTTCAGAGGTCCTCCTTACCCAGCGCCCTCACACTGATACTCCTCTAACAGGCCAATGAGTTTATGTTTATGCATCACAAAGCAGCACATTTCACTGGTGACCCGCATTTACCCTGTACAACTGAGCCTGTAAATGGATGCTTTGTGACAGTGAGGGAGTAAGCTGTCGACTTGCTCACTCCGCCAAGGAGACTAGACTCTCACCAGCCTGTAAAAGGGCAGCCACAGTGTAAGACTGGATGTACACATATCCATGCCCACCTTGGACTATTTCAAACTTAAAAAAATGAGAAATTGCATTTCTCAGATAATACAGATGTTGATTTGGTCCTAAGCGAGAGTGTGGGTTGAATTGTGGGTCAGTGCTGCTAGTGGAGCAGTGTTTGATTTGTGTGTCATGGCTGCTGGCAGCTTGTGGCTTGAAATGCCTGACCACAGCGTTGAACTCGCTCCAGCACGTTTTTTTTCTGATCTACACACACTCGATGTAACTCCAGGGTTAACGCAGTGGACCATCCTCATGTTGTGTTTTGTGGATATTAGTGCATTTTCAACACATTTTTTCTCCGTCTATTTCTGTCTGCACTGTGCGATGGGGTGGTAGGAATGCAGTAGCATGTGCTTTGTTCAGAGAGTTCAGGGTTGCAGTGGGAGAAGAAATAGGACAGATGGAATGGGAACAACTACACAGGAAGAGATCATTTAATGTGTGTCATTTTGGATGCATTTTTTGGCCTGTTTGTTACAGCAACTGGACAGAATCAAAAGCCATAAACGGATTAGTTGTAACTACCTGCCAATTCAGCTGATGCAAGGAGGACAGAATCTATGTTTCCAGTTATTTGTATTTTATTTGTATGTTTGGAGTCTAACAGGGAGCCAATGCAAATTGACTTGCATGGGCATAATATGTTCGCATCTCTTTTTGCTGTCTCTTGTCACTTCCTGTTTATTTTCAATTTATTTCTGTTTATTATGGAAAACATTAAGTGTGAGTCGTCTTGGTTGCACCCTCGTTCAGTGTTGCTAGCTTGGTGACTTTTCGACTTTATTTCTAAAAAGCCACTAGGGAATATGTAAGAATATGAAGCTATCCTATTCGCTACTACTGGAAAATGTATAATTCTAATTGGTAGGTGTGTTTAATGTCAGTAAACCGTAAACAGCAAGCAACCAAAACAGATGGAGGGGCTGCCACTATCTCAGGGGAATCACAGACTATTCCTTTAAATGTGAATTCAAATGTCAATATGTATAGTTCTCAAAACTATGAACTAAGAATTATGGGAAATGCACAAAATCTATTGGAGTGCTCTCATTTGGACCCCCTCCCCAATGTCTATACCTTGGTTACGCCCATGGGAAGTAGCCTCCTGTTGGAGTTTAAGCTGTAAACTTACACTATTGAAAATTTAAGTTAAGGTGGGTTTACTTACTCGCCATTATATTGGTAGCTTTCTTTAAAAAAGTTTAAACAAAGCTACTAATATTTTAGCACATCATCGTATTAACAGTAACGCATTAACGCTAACAGACAAACTTTGTGAGATACAGGTGAGCAAACACCTCCAGAGAATCATCACCAGAATCAGCAGTTCCCCTCAGCTCTACAAAGCATTTTAGTGTCTTTCAGCTCATTGCTTTGCTTTTATAGCACTCAACTTTATCACTCTCAAAACCCTTAAAAACCACCTGTCCAGCACCAAACAACAAACAGACAAGGCTAGCATCTAGCTTGTAAAACATACCAAAGCATTTAGCAGCTGAAGAGTCAGGTATTTTTCTCAAAAGCTGGTGAAGCTAAAAGAAGACTGAATTTTGGATTCGCAAGTTAGCCAGAAACACGACTCCAAATGAATGCTAAGGTTGCTCTGTGTTTTCTGGATGTGTGAGCTAGCCATATCTGTTAGCTAGCTAACATGGTAGCCATATCAACTTAGCCTGTTTCTGCTGCCCCCAGGTGGCCAACAAATCATATAAAACAAGTTTAAATGTTTCAGTCCACCACCAAAAATGAATTTGACTAACTTTTCATATGAAAAAGGTTGTCAGCCAGTTTAAGGTCCCACAGATATGATGACGTGCTGTCTCCTCTCTCCTGCTCCAACCAGGCCTGTAGCCCCGTCCAGGTATCTGTGGCCCCCAGAAGCCCCGGCTGCCAGGGTTGGACTCCCTCTGCGTCTGGCCACATTAACACTCCGGTGGGTCATCTGTCCCCTTCTGTCCGTCTGTCTGTCTTCATATGTGTCTGTTTGTTTACCTGCATGACAGCCGGTCTATGAGAGCAGGCAGCAGCATAGATAGAGCCTCCAGTGTGTAACATTTAGGAGGATATATTGGCAGAAATGGAATATAATATTCATAGGTATGTTTTCATTGGTGTATAGTCACCTGAAAATAAGAATTG